GCAAATTCACTCTCTGCCAGCAGGTGGCGCTTATGAACAGCAATGATACAGTGTTTCCTTGGTTACCGCTGTAAACAAAGCAGAGCTGCGCTTATGAACACTACTTTAATATGCATCGTTCAGAGGCAAGATGAAAAGAAAATGCCATCTAAACTTTTCTAAAGACAGTCAGTTCCCCTCAGAGATACATTCAGATAAACTCCTACTCCAATTGTTTCACGATTTTTATGTTGTGTCACATATTTGAATCGATTTTCAACCAGCTCGCGGTTCATCTTTACATCCCTAGTCGTTAATAGAATTCACTTTTAGAGAAGAAAGCAAAATAAAGTGAAAGTGTTGAGTTCAGTAGTTCATCACTGTTGTCTAGATTAATTACTAGATTGTCTAGATTAGATTATTTGATAAAGATCACCATCAGATCTGCTGAAAAATGGCACACTGAACAAATAAGCTACATATGGTACTACGGTAAATGTTTTGGTACTCTGGTACTGTTGTAGTGCTGGTGTTTTGAACATCAGGCTGAACAGACCTGAGTGTGTGTGTGTGTGAGAGGGTGTGTAGAGTGTGTGTGCGAGAGAGTGTGGAGAGTGTGTGAGTGTGTGTGTGTGTGTTTGCAAGAGTGTGTGTGCGTGAGTGTGTGTGTTTGTGAGTGAGTGTGTGTGCGTGTGCGAGAGTGTGTGTTAGGGCTGTGTATCACCAGCAAAGTCACGATACGATACGTATCACGATACAGAGGTCACGATACGATACGTATCACGATACAGAGGTCACGATACGATACGTGTCACGATACAGGACTGCACTGAATTTCTTTCCAGCAGAATTTTTTACATTGCTGGTAGGTTATCATTGCACAAATTAACACAATTTCTGCATAAAAAATTTTTTTTTTTTGAAGAGTTCTAAACTAATGCGCTGTCTTCACTGTATCTCACGCACACACGATTTTAGTCACTCACACAGATCACGTTGCGCACGCGCACACAAACTTTTTAGCGCTGCCCCGCAATTTTATCAACTAAATAGCTTAATTGCTCAAGAGCTACATTATCTTTCTCAACAAGGAGCTGGTAACATCATCGTTTCTAAAGGAATTAAAGCCACAGCTTCACTGTTAATA